GCTCTGTTATGAGGCTAGTTTGTGGCATCGCTGGGGACTGGCTCTGAGGAGTGAGTGGTCCCGGTCTGCTCACAGCCCTCCTCTGTGCCTCCCCCACTCTGTGGCCTGATGCCCCGGGGCCAGTGGCCCTCTTCTGCCGGCCCTTCCCCATGCTGTTCCTGCCTCACCCAGGCCTAGAAGCAGCAGAGCAGCCAACCATGGACTGGACCTTAGAACCATGAGTCACAACAGATCTTTCCTCTCTGCCTTGATTTCCTCGTGCATTTGGTCACTGTGACAAAGCTGACGATCATGACTTCCTTCTGGCTAACAGTGGGCATCAGTGCCACTGCAGAGGTGGTGGACAGCCACCTCTCTAGGGAGCTGCTGATACCAGAACCTCGGCTCCACGCTGGACCCTGCACAAGGGATTCCTGTAGGTGCCTACGGGCGCTGCTCCCCAGCCTCTCTTCCCCAGGGCTCCTGAGAGAAAGGCTGGAGGACAGGAAATGCCCCCTTCTCCACAAAACCCACAGACTCGGGGTCTGAATAGTTGCCTCGGGTTACCGGGTTTCTTCTATTTATAGTCTCTTTTGTGAGAAACTGGCAAAGTATGTACACATTCACCAAAATTAGGGATTCAGTGACAGCATTTGCAGGCTATGTTATAATTAAAGTCATGCTAAGTCAGTCCAACCCTCAGACGTCCACCCTGCTCCAGTCCACACTTTGAGGTAACGACAGGATTATAACCCCGGGCACTACAGGACAGGGCAGAGAATGAGCTCCTCTCTTGAGATTTATGTAATTATATGTTACTGTTGTCTAATTGTTTGCCAGAGGAAGGCGGTGAAAAAAGATGAGGAAAACATGCTTTGTTTTTTCTTTTTAGTTTTCTTTTTCTTTCAGTTAGAAGACATGGGATCAAATCCTAGGTCTTCCCTTCATCACTATCTGCCTCAGTTGCTTCATTTGTGTGGGTGAGAGTCTTTTTTTTTTTTTTTGGTAACAGGGATCGAACTCAGAACCTTGTGCTTGCCAGGCAGGTAGCGGAACCACTGAGCTAAATCCCTGGCCCAAGATGTTTTATTTTATTTATTTATTTATTTTTGAGACAGGGTCTCACTGTGTATTTCAGGATGGCTTTGAACTCACTATGTAGTGCAGACCTCGAACTCATGGCAACCTTCCTGCCTCAATCTCCTGAGTGCTGGGATTACAGGTGTGTGCCCCATGCTCAGCTGAAAGTTTCTGGTACTCTCAAAGACAGTTTTAGTGCATAGAAAGAGTAATCTGAGACTTAGTTTAGTAAGATTAATGTTTTTTGATTAAAATTTAAATTCAAGATAAGTTCTTCTGTAAGCTTGTAAGTTTAGTTTCAAATCATATTTATACAGTTGTAAGTATAGCAAATTAAATCAATACCCTTAAAGAGGCCATGAGTAATATTTGGTTTCATTTATTCACTTGGTTAAACATCTTCAAATATTTTAAGTGGACTTTCACAATTATATCTGATTTCTTAAGGATTTTTGGTTGTCTGAAATAAAATAAATAAAACTTGGTTGAGTTAAAAAGTATAAGGCTA